AATAACGCCACAAACACTCAGATAACTCGTGGCCTGAACCGAAACAGGTTGCTTTGAATCTGTCAAAAGGTATTGAGGCTTCCTTTCTCTCACAGCGACTCAAGCGGCGGTCAGCGAATTATTTGAGTGGTCGAAGTTCGTTAGTAATTTCAGAGGTAAAACCAGCAAACCGACTCTGTTTAATTATTAAATCTCATAGCTCCCTCAACCGCAAGAGGGAGTCTCTATTGTCTCTTATGCTGACGACTGCTCGAGAATGGCGTCTGGGAATGGAATTGATGACTTGTGCTCGAAAGTAAATGGCTACTTCTCCGAGATTTCTCGCTTTTTCACTGCAAGGCGCCTAACCCTCTTCCCTAGGAAATCCTTGGAAACCTCATCTAACACCTGAAAGGAGGAGGTCAGACTGCAGCTGGGTATTCACGACGGCCTCGTTTACCGTTGTGGGTTTCATTCAGAGCTGATGTCTATATTTTTCAAGATAACGTTAAGGGCAGAGTGTGATTGGATGCCTTAAACTTATATTCTATAAGCCTTGACTTTGGTGTGTCTAAATAAGCTTACTGAAACTTGGCCCGGAATCGAACTGTCGAGCTAAGTTAAGTCACGAACCTCCTCCTTGTATATTGGGTATAGGTTTACTGTACTATTTTATAAATAAATGCATTTATATGTACAAATGTATATGCATTATATGCGCACCATTTGGTAAAATTTACTTTATATATATACGAGATACAAAAAGGTTCAAATATTATTTTTCTAGGAAAGAAAGGTTAAATTTTGCTCCACACTGTAGGTACTACAATACGAGAAAGAGTAGGTATGTACCTCACAGCGATCAAAGCGTTTTTTTTTTTTGGTTTTCTGTGTTCATATACACGGTTGCTGGTGCTCTCACCCTCATATAAACGTCAAGACTTTTGCTTTTATGTTGACAGTTCGGTTATGCGCCGCTGTCAAACCAAAATCACATGCACCGCCTTTCAAAAATTGCCCACATATGGCGCGTGTGTGTGCGGCGATTTATCATCACCGTAGCATATCATGCCGCCAACAGAAACAACAACAATGCGTACGCATAATTCAAGTGGCTGTCGGCATGGCGTGTCTGCCTACCGCAACCGAAATGAATAATTAAATTTTAAAGAGCACTAAATTTTCACCTAATTATAAATCATCATTGCATTGTTTTTATTTTTTCTTCCTTTTGACACATACATACATACTTGGCTGTGTATAAATACATACATATATGTATGGTTTTCGGTGCCCCTGATTTCCACGAGTACCGGCTGCCGTTTGCTGACTGCCTCCTTCACTTCACTTTGGTGAGTTACGCGTGTTCCGGCGTAATTTGTGTCATCGCATGGATCAGTGAGATTGCACTTTGTGGTTTGTTGACAAGCAAATTCGCAGGGCATGACAGTATACACATATGTATGTAGTCCTGTATATACACAAACATATGTATGTATGAGAGTTTCTCTATACAAATTTTAAAGAATTTATTCCGAGTAAAATAAAAGAGTTTTATATGTCAATGAATTTTTGTCAGAATCTTTTGATAAATCTCTAGTTAAGGCTTCCAGATTTCGGCATCGAGCTACAAGCAGAAGTCGCCGTTATCAAGGCGAGGGGCAATGTGACAATCAGGACTCTGGATTCATTTGCGTTCAAATCCGTTTCATTGGGTACCGGATTATAGCTAAATAGCAAGAAATGACATGATTAATGAGCTGGGGCAACAGGACATTCTCTAGATCGCCTACAAGCTGCTCTTTAATAAATATAGTACATCAATACGGCTCAGCGGTTTATTTTCTTTATTCCATTTTCAAGATAAACCAGTTCAGGGGGTCTACTCTGTATTGCGATTCGGAACTCAATGCGATTCACGGCCTAATAAAAATGCATAGTGCCAAGTATTCGAAACCGAAAGATTTGCTTTTCGAATCACAATACAGAGTAGAGCCCCAGCTAGATAAATTTCTTGTAGAACAACCAGGCAACTTTGGCCACAAATAGACAACAAAAATACGAAAGAGTCGCTCAGCCTCTCAAGAGAGGATATTGCGATGGTCACGGCCGGTCATTGGCTATTTGGCAGGCACTCTTCAAGACTAAGAATATTCTCACATGTCTATTGCAGCAGTTGCAGAGATGAGTGAGATGATGAATAAACCGTAGAGCACTTCTTTTGTAGTTGCCCAGCTTTGGCCAAGACGAGAGCAGGCTTTTCAGGTAGGCGCTTCTCTAGCTCTCTTGCGGAATTATCAGGCGCTTTATAAGAGCTAGAAAATGGTTCTATGAAGAATAGTCACTGAGGTTCCCGTACTCTGCAGTTATACCACAATGGACCTTCAAAAGGTCTAAGTGAGTTGGTTATTTGAACCGACTGCCACATTAACCTAATCTAACCTAACCAATTGATAATGTGTTCTCGAGAATATTTTATTAAAATTTGTCTTTCTTTAGAAATATCTGGTAATGCAGAATTTATAATCTTTATTGACCTAGATTGCCTAAAATACATTAAATTAATTTTTCTCATATCCGGCAATGAAACATATATTCTCTTAGCATCTCATGACCGCTATCCTCCGCGCGTTTCTTGGCAAAAGCATTGTCTGCAAGCTTTTAAAGCCAATGACAAGCCCATTTTGAAGTAATATCTTTCGGAAAGAAAATTCAGCGATTGTCAAATTTATATTTGAGGTAATCGTGTTTCATGATGGGATATTTACATACATATATCGCTAGTAAATATGTATTGTAGGTATGTATGCTTCTCAAACGTATTGACCCATTAAATATTTGACGAGCAAATCTTTCAGCAAATGTTAACACTAAATCATTATTTTACGAGTTTTTAATTCGATTACAGTCTAATGTGTTGTCACTCAACACAACATAGCTAATGGTTTATAAAGTATGTAGCACAAAGTGAAAGGAATTTCTGCTTAAAATTTTTATGAGCGCCAAAAGTAATGAAAGTGAAAGTATAAAATCAGAAAATTAAGCAGAAATGTGTGAAAAGCGTTGCCCATGAAACCTATTAAAGGATGTGTGAGTGTTTGTTATTTCTGGAGACTACTGTCTGTCTGTCTGTCTATTGCCAGCTGGCAAAAGGTGTTAAATAAGCAATAACTTCAGTTGTCTTACTTGTGTCACTAGTTAGAGTGAGCACAGTTGACCATTTTTGTTATTGCCGCACTTGGTATTGTTTGCGAGATTGTAAACACACACACACATATGTACATACGCTGCGCGACAAGCGGACAATATTTAATGTTGCACCAAAGCAACCCAATGAAATTGACAGCCAGCGTCAGCACATAAAATTTGTTTTGATGAGTCCTCTGGCGCTATTGATGCTTGGCAAATGCTGACGCGTCGTAAAAATTTCATGTTTCACAAGCTGCATGGATGTGTGGGTATGTGTAATGATATATGTATTTAGTGCTAGTGGGGGTATGGGGGTACATATGTGGTAATTTGTTCCCTAAAGTGTAATTTGAGCTTTGATTTTGAGTTTACTCACATTTCGTGGAATTGACTTAGTGTTTTTATGCCGCTAAACAAGATAGCTAGGAAATTTTCTTATTTAGTTGTGAAATGTCCAATAAATGTGGCTTAAAGTTGTTCACAGTCACGCAAGGATCATTTCTAAGAGTGTGGTACTTAATATATTTTAAGAGCGTATGGAAGATTTTGATAAACAAAAATATTCGGAAAAGACCTGTGCTAGACATATATTTACTGTACATACATATATTTCTTTGAGGGAATTTATACCTCAATTTGATTTTATAACACCGTTACACACGAAAAAATTAATATATTCGCAAAACTGGGGGCCAAATAAAGTAAAACTGCGTTTCTAGTTTTTCTCTCTGACATCAGGATTTTTTTCTAAAAGGACTTGGAAATTTCTAGAATATGATTGAAGAAAAAAATTATTCTAAATATTCGGTGCATTGTAGAATAACAATATGCATATCAATTAAAAGAAAAAATTCTGGAGAATAGAAAAAAATCAATATCTTATAAAGAAAAATAAACAATTTTTTTATCTAAAACTAATAAAGTTAGAGGGAAGAAATTCGAGGATATGGTAGTTAACTTATTAGTCCTTGACATATACTTTTTTCAGTAATAAATATTGGAAATTTCCAAGGATATTCAAGGATAACATTTTAAAAGGACGCTTTAAACACATTTTCGTCCCGGTGCACTAAAAAATTATTTTATTTTTTTCAATTCTACAGAACTTTTCCTTTTAATTAATACCCATAGTGTTATTCTTCAATGCACCGAATCTTTTGAACAATTTTTTTTTATTCAATCATATTATAGAAATTTCAAAGTCCTTTTAGAAAAAATCCTGACGCCAGAGAGGAAAACTAAAAACGCAGTTTTGCTATATAAGGCCCCTAGTTTTGTGAGTATATTGATATTCTCGTGTCTTTTAAAAATTTTTGGTTTTTGTCGCACAGTGTAATACTTGAACCCTTCATTATAGCAAGATTATATTTTCAGAATTTTTAAGCGTGAATATTTTGTTCGATATCTGCTTTTATTGAACTTATGGATTTTTTTTTTTCTACAAAAAGTTTTGCCTTTTCGTTGCCCTTACCTTAGTATTTGTGCGAAGAGTGCAATGTGAAGGTTACATTTCTCGATAGAAAAGAAAACGGCATTAGTTCGATGTAAAAGACCTGCACAATCGATAGCTTGTTGTTTCGATAATTCTTTTTCTATCGGAAATCCGAGGTCTCCGAGGTGGACCTATATTAATTTGGTTTAGCTCCGATCATTGTAACATGAATAAATTAACGGTACTCCTAAACTTGTGTATGAGAATTGAAGTCGGTTCTGTTTTTTGCTTAAAAGCTACTTGTACAATGTACATACATACATATTTGTTTTCTTGCATTCTTCTACATCCGCTTTAAAATATTAATAACTTCTTTTCACTTTTCCTCGCTCTTTTTCAGATAGTAGCTTTCGTAGCAGCAGTGACGATTACCCTGAAACGTATAGCCAACACCTGCATTCACACACCACGCACATGCTGCAGCAACATACCAGTAACCAACACCAACAACTCCATTCGCAACATTCACAACATCCTCCGCAAACATGTGCGCCGTCGGCAACACAGCAACACTCACGCAAACCGCGTCGAAATCGCACCACTTTCACCTCTGGCCAATTGACTGCACTGGAAAAGGTCTTTGAACGCACCCACTATCCGGATGCATTTGTGCGCGAAGAACTGGCCACCAAGGTGGGGCTGAGTGAAGCGCGTGTGCAGGTGAGTGTTTGTCATAAAATTGCAAATGAAATTTTAATACCTGCGCATGCAATGAATGCCCGACATTTCTTATAATTCTTCATCGCCATCGTTCACCTTACTCTGCTGCTCCATACATATACACATACATGTATATTTTTGTTGCAGGTCTGGTTTCAAAATAGACGCGCAAAATTTCGTCGCAATGAACGCAGCTCAACGAGTGGTCGTTCCATATTGGCGAGTACACCTCAACCGGTGCCGCCCATCACAGTCACGCACAAATTCGATAAATCCATTGCTGGCAGTGGTGGTGCAGGTGGATTTTTTCATCAACAAATGGATCATGCGGCCGCAGCAGCAGCCGCATACACGTTGAGCTTTCCCACGCTTGGCATGTATTCGACGGCGGCGGTGGCCGCGGCTGCTGCAAAAAATTATGCAAATTCCTATAGTGCATTTGGTAGTGCAGCATCGGTGGCTAGCGCCGCGGCTGATGGACTCACTGGGGCTGCGGTTGGTGGAGGTGGCGTCGGCGGTGGCGGTGGTGCAGGCTGCGGCTTCTTTGGCTCGTCGAATTATTGTGCGCCAGCGGTTGGCTATCAGCACAGCTATGCACCGTTAAGGTATAAGGCAGCACCGGGGTTTTCTGCGTTATGAACGTGGTTTGTGAAGAGCGGCAGATAAGTGAATAAAAAAGTACAAGTTAGTTAAATTTTCAATAATCTACTGAGAACGATTCGTTTAATAAAATATTTATTCCGTTAATACAATTTTATTTTATTTTTCTTACCACGGACTGCTGAAGGAGATAAAATGTGAAAAGTGTGGTGAACACATGCCTGCAAAATAAGAAATACATTTCAAAGAGAAATTCCCAGAATTTTGGACATTAAGGATGCACTGAACCAAAAATCCATCTCTGGATCAAAAAAAAACCTTTCCTTACTTTAAGGTCGCAAATTCTTCCGAATGAATAAAAAATTCTCCCGAATGAGTAATTTTTCTTTGGAATGTGTAAAAACGTACACGAAAGTATGGAACCGTGGCTGTAATCTATAATTTTGAAGAAATGTTGGGCATGAAAAGAGGACAAAACTTCTTTAGTGCTATTTCGTTCCCATTTTTCTTCATTTTGATTGCTGTTTTTCTTCAATTAAGAGAAGTTTTTTTTTTGGGTGTGGTTGAAAATTTTTAGCGGCTTTTCACTTCACAGCCTTTTAATTTTCCTTCGTTTGCGAATTTATAGAGACGGGTCAACCATCTTCAAAAATAAATTCGAAATAAAGCCGTATTAAACCTTTATAACCATTTTAAAATATTTTGTTCAGTTTGTTAAATAAATTAATTTTGAGTTTCAAAACAAGTGGCAGCCCTCTTCAGCCACATTTTCGAAATAATTCCTTTTTAAACTTCTTTCATTTGACACCCACGTTGTTGTATTATTTTATTTAAGTTCTTAATCAAATAATTTTAACTTCTATCTAAAATTTTCTTGCAATAAAAACTTTTTTTGACACTTTTACTATAAAAAAAAATCTATAACAATGTAAATTTGATCAAAATTTCTTGCGCAAGTCTCTACGGCTAGGTTATGTTAGGATGACGGCGAACAACTTAACGTCCAAGCAGCTGCTAGGTGATGTTTCGGTACAGTGAGCCTTGTATGACTACCAACCAGCGTGGTTGATAAAATTTCATATCGATGGCTGAGTGGAAGATCGACCTATCTCGGCAGCCAGTTCGAAAACGCTCTATCTCAAAAAACTTTTCAAGAACGCCCTATTTCAGAATTCGTTTCAAAAACGCCATATCTCAGCTGCCGATTCAAAAACGCCCTATATCAGCATATTTTCAATACATTTTGAAGTGAGATAGGGCGTTTTTGAACCGCATTTTGGGATAGGGTGTTTTTCAATTAAATTCTGAAATAGGGCGTTCTTGAAAAGTTTTTTTAGATAGAACGTTTTCGAACTGGCTGCCGAGATAGGTCGATCTTCCACCCAGCCATCGATATGTTGTGCACTCTTACATATATCGGACAGATCTTGCAACGATTTATTCCTACACACTTAGTGTAGTATTTATTTCAACATCTGAAAATAAATAATTTTAAGCCCTGCAGCTTCTACGCAATTCTTTCTAGGTAATCTACCATAGGTGCGTATGTAGGTTCCAACCGACCGATACCCAGGTAAAAAAAACGCTACTAGCCTCGTAACATCAGCTCTGGGTTTTCCTAACAAATTGTGTGTTCTTTGATGGATGAACTCGAATGGGGCTAACCTGGCTAACTTATCAGAAGCCTTATTTTCTGTACTGTTGCCAGGCTCACCTTAACGGTGGAGAGAGGTACTACGCTTTAAAAGGCGATAGTCTTTCAGGCAGTTGGGTTTAATCATTTTATAGGTCATTCGGTCGGCATTTATAAGTTAAAGAACCACTTTAAAAACAGCCTGTCTTTGGTTAGGGTAATAAGAAAGTTCGGAGGAGGTTCTTAATACTTTAGCAAAGCGGGGTTCCAGATCGATTGTCACGGAGCACCCGTTTTAGCTTAAAAATCTTACAATGACTACCACGTAAACTGTCCTTGATCAGCTTGCGTAACCACATTATAACTGACCTACCTACACGCTGAGATGTCGGCTAAGAAAGTACCCCTTTCCTTCTGCATGTCCTTGTTAAAAGTTTGTGTCACGCTAAACTACATTACTTAAAATCTTCCTCCTTCATGCACTCAAAACTCATTAATTTTGTGGTTATTTGACGCTCTATTAAAACATACACACTCACCGCACACCGCACATACACATGCACCTACCGACACATTCGCACAAACCTAACCAGCTACTGTACGTGCTTTGAATAACTTTTTCAATGCAGTCGGTGGACTAAAGTAAATACTTTCTGCAATGAAGTGCATATAAACGTGCAACACTCATGCATATACAGTACATACTTACATCTAAGAAACCTGCATTTGACACACTGCATATGTATGTACATATGCACGTCGGACAGGTGAGGCACTACAGGAAATCAAAACTTTTACAAACCCTCTTTTTATTTCTTATTCTCACTATTGTATTTTGCGTATGTGCGTGCGTCTGGGGGGGTCCTGTATTGTAAGAGGGAAAGCTTGATGTTGACCTTTCGGTGTGGCTAGGGGTAATGGTAAAGTTAGCCACATAACTTTGCCAAGTCGTCGAGTTGCAGCGCTGCCGAGTTGTTTGTGCGGTGTTTATGATGACCGCAGCAAAGTACTGCTCAAAGTATTGCACTGAAATGCATTGAGTGTGGCTTTTTGTGTGCTATTGTATTGCAGTTTATGTAGTTCTGGCACTGGGTGGATATACAAAAACACGAGCATTTACTTTCTTAAATAAGAGTCCAAACATTTTTGAATTTAGTTATGTACATATTTTTACTCTTTAACGCACACCGCTTAATACTCATTTAACTGGAGTACTGACGAGAAATAGAAAAAAAAAATGGACAGGTATGTAACTACACACTATGATTGTTCGCAAAAAAAATAAAATAATCAACGCCAGTTTTTATAAATGACAATCGTTAAATGAAAACAAAAAAAAAACCGGCGGCAAAAAAAATAAAAATCAACGGGAATTTTTAGTTATATTAAAAATGGTTGGTTATATTAAAATTCCATGGGATATAAATTGCATACCCAAAGTTGTTCTAAAAATTCAGAGAAAAAAGCTCTAAATTTAGACAAACACATTTTTAATTTTCTAGGTCGTACGTTGTTGTCTTAAAAGCTTCAAGCGCGAATTTCTCATAAAGTTTTTGTACAATTTTTATAAAAAGTTGTGGGGATATAGAGCATGCCTGAAGCTATCTTTTGAAGACTTAAAAATGTTTCTACAGCAAATCTTTATATACATTTTTTGGGCTGTAACAAAGACTTGAGGCGCGATTTTTCACATTTTTTCCTACAAAATCTGTATTAAATATTTTTTAGAAAATGTGCCCGAAAATTGTTGATCTGGAAGAAATTTCTGACTGTAGTAAATCCAACCGATGGTTGAAAGTTGCGCACAAAAATTCAGAAAAATGTGAAAAGTGAGTACTGGCTGCTGGCAGTTGGGCGATACTTCGACTGCAAAAAGGTCGTACGACCGGTGTATGCTTCAAGCGCGAATTTCTCATAAAGTCGAGGAAATTCACACTTAACAAAGCAAAGTGAAGGCACCCACCAAAATGTTCGTTTATGCGAATATTTATAATAGTTTTTTACTTATGGATATACATATTATACATATATACGTACATATGTAGTGTAACCTACCTTTATAAATTCCAAAATAAATAAAACACAAGACCGAACGCTTTTATTTTACACATTCACAAGTAAAGTACGAATATTTATTTACGTCATTCAATTACTAAAGTGATTTTGCTTACAAGTTATTTGTATGTTTTTTATCTATTATATAACATGCAGAATCTGTTTATACTTTCTTGCAACATGTTTTTGGCTTTAGTGTTTCTGTGCAACAGCTTTTAATTATTTTTAGTTATTATGAATGATAACATTGTACGCTTGTTTATATTTGAAAGCATATAAATACATAGCAAGAAAAAGTTCTTTATTTTGAAAAAAAAAAATCGAATTTCTTAAACACTATTTTCAAACAATTTCACATGTTTTTTTTTTTAATATCTAAATAGTACATAATTGGGTAAAATACTTAAGTTTACAAAAGAAGAAAAACCATAAAGGAATCGATAACACTACTCCCCTTTGTTTACTTTACTAACACCCATAGATATTGAGCTTAATTTTGAAGAGGCTAACAAATTGAGCTTTTTATTGCAATGCTTGCCAGTTTTATTGTTTTTAATTTATTTTTGATTTTAAAACTTTTTTGAAATTTTTTTATATTAATTTTTAGATATTAAGTGCTTACTTAGCGCATATGTTCACGTTTAATTTTTCATTTACATATTTTCTACTAAACTATATACTCGTAGTATTTATGCGTATTTTCCCTTTTCCCCCAATAGCAAAACGAATGCATACACGACAAACGAGAGTTGTGTTTGTTAGATTTATAATACTTTTATATATTTATACACACGTAAGTAAATCTGTACACTTATATTACATGACTGTCATCCATAATCAGTGTTGCCAGAAATAAATATCCATTTAGGGCTAGAAACTCCAGAAAAAAGGGCTAGAAAGGGCTAAATAAAAAGTTTTAGAAGCTAAGAAAAGGGGTAGTTTCATTATTCGTCGGTTTAACTTTTATTTTTCAGTTGAAAATATGTTTTTCCATACAAGCAGTAGAAATATCCAAAATTAAGTTAAGCATTTTGGAGCCTTAAAAAAAAGAGCTAGGAGCTAAAAGCGAATTTCTGGAGCAATTTAAAATAAAAAGAGCTAAATCTAACCCCAAACCCACGAATATGGCAACACTATCCATAAGTCACATCTGCAGGTATGCGAATGTGTCTCTCAATATTATTCGTTTGCATAATTTATTCTTTATTTATTACTGTTTGTATTTTTCTGATTGATTTTTTTTTATTACTTTTTACTTTGATTACCTCTAGCAGCATTTTTTTCTATCGGCCTTGCATATTTACATCTATCTCCTTTTTTATAATTTCACAATTAATTACTTAGATACCTC